AAAACCTGCTTAAGATGCAAGTCCGCAACCCCTTGCGCTTCCTCCACCGAAACGTCTCATTTACAAGTCAGAAATAAATATCATGAACGAGTAAAACCTCAAAAAGAGCAGTCAACGTGTCCCAAGTGATTGTGCTCGTTGGATCCAAAATATTCTCCATACCGGGAATCACAGCACCACGATTATCATAACATTTGGTCAACAAACCCTCGATGCCTACGCCCCATGATTTCATATGACCGGGTGTATCGAATTCCGGCAACACTCGAATCCCTCGTAATCGCGCATAATCTATTATATCCTAAATAAAGTGGTTATGCAATTAATTAGCACATCATTTTCAAACGCGCTCATATTCAAACTATTTTTATAATTTCGAAGGTTCCAGTAACATTCAAATTCTATAGTTATCCTCCCCTTATTCTGTCGCTAATTTCTTCCTAAAAACTTTTCCTCCATGCCACTCTTGCCAGTAAAGTTATTCTGTGCATTCTGGATAGGAGGCTGTATTGATGATTTCCACTCATTCGTACCCATTGCTCTGCCTGTGCTTACAGCTAAGGGATAAAACATAGGCTACTTACTCGTGTGTTCATCTACAGCGTGAAAGAAACTCTGCCCTAACCGGTTTAACAGATCTTATGTTAAAATTTGTTTTGATTTTTTTAGTGTTGCACTTGCTCAAAAGACAACATTTTTTTTTGTCGTAGCATGGCAAAAACGGCAATGGACATGTCATGCGAACGTGTAGCGGTACCACAAAAGGATTACTGTAGTAGAAATTTCCAAGCAAGCGAAAAAATCTGCAGCAAAATTAAGCAAAACTCATTAAATTCATTTTTTAGGATGTTGATCTCTTTTTCAGGAAGCTGAGGCTTAAAATCCCGGGGCAAGTTCAGCCACAACGGACAGTTCAGTGCGGCATTATTTACACAGCTAACACAAGTGCGAAGTGTTTGGCTGAACCCTGAAATCACTTTGGGCATAATCTGACATCATATCGCAGTATTTGCTGCAAACAGCTAAAAAAGCTTCGCTATTGACACCCAAGTGTCTGTATGTTCTGGAAAGTACTAACCCTAATCTGGTCTAGTGTATAGATGTGCCTAGGTGTATAGGCGCCATGAATCAACGTTGGGATCGCCTTGGACTGGTACGGGAATGACTCGATGTCAACGATATGCCAGTGAAAGGTGTTGAATTTATTTTGCGCCATCAACTCAATGTTCGCTTTGAGTATATCCACCGACAAGTAGTGCCTGAAAGTAATGGAAAGATGAGACGCAACAATGTATAACCTTTGTGAATTTCGTTTTTGTCAACTTTAAGCTAAGGGATGAAACACAGAATACTTACTATCATATTCATCTACAACATGACATAAACTCCATCCTCGCTAATCTTGTATTTAAAACATCCAGATGCCTGTAGACAAAATTTCAGCGCTCACAAAAAATTTCCGAGAAGCACTGTCAAAACATCGTTCAAATAAGCAGAAGTCTTTTTTTTTTTGTTGCTTTTGGATTAGCAGCAGTTTCACAGTGCGGTTTCGATCATCTCTGCACAAAAACGAAATTACTGCGACATTTTGACTGTACCAGTTCTCGTAAAGCCACTTTCCTACGAAGCTCTTTAGATGTTATTAACGAATAAAACGAGTGATTATTTGAGCAATTTGTTAGCAGAAGCTACTTACAAAAGACAACTATATGCTTGTGAGCATAGTAGTACTAGAGCTGGAAATCCGACAGTTGAATGCAAGACAGCATAATTATGTAGTAATGTTGTGTTGTGCTTTCTTTATAGCACAATTTAGAAAAAAACCGAACTCAAATAGTCGGACAGACGCAAACACTCATATACACACACACACTCATACACACCACGGGCCGTCACAATGTGAGTTTTTGCATTTGCATAAATATGCAACAACGCATAATTAGGCACTGCTGAAGTTGCCAGCTGCATGAAACTAACAACTGCCCAAACTATTTATTGAAAGCTACCTAAAGGCATATCCGACTAACCTGGATGTGTCAAGCAAAACTCCTCGATGTGAGAATCTTGGATAGTCACGAATTTCAGCTTCTCGCACTTTTGTATTATCATCGTAGAAGAGCTGTGCAAATGATTCCAAGCCTCTCAGGGCACCCCAGACCTTAAAAGTTTTTTTAAAGTATAAAAAAAAATTGAAAAGTATTCTGAAGTCACTAAAGCAATTTTTATGCGTCTCGTGTATGGATCCAGAAAAGTTCAGATTTCAAAACGATTAGCATTACTCCTCTCTCTTCCCCTCTCCTCAAGGCCTTCCAGCATTTCGATTCAAAACAAACCTGATTAGCTTTGAGGACGGCAGCGCCATTAGTAGTGTTCAGCTTATAGCTCTCATCGTCACCGAACTGCGGGAAGCCGCTGGTACATCCTTCATCCACAAATATCGTCAGATTGTGCAGAACCTGAAAGATGATATTCAAACAGCAAATGCGTTACATTTATTTTTTATGCGTTTTATACAAAAATGCATACTACTGAAAGATTGTGCATGCATGTTTGTATGTTTGATTTTATCATTAACTTTTGACTCAGCAAATAACGGAGCTAGGAAACTGAAAATTTATGAGTTTACATTCAGTCCAATGTGCAACACTCCAAATCTAAAACCAGTGTTCACTTGTGCCTTAGTCTTACGTGTGGACGAG